ATTCTCTGTGCATTTGTGAACTAAAGGTTTCAAGCTCAGCTATCACGCACGCACACTTCTCGTATATGGAAATGTCAAAATTATTGTTGGCAAGAAGCCAATTCAGCGACTAAATTAATTTACGAGAATATTTGTTTTCCATAATTGGGCAAGAGGGCGTAAAATACGCTTTGGCACACACCTGTATTTTTTTGTGTTCCAAAAATGTTAAGTTAATCTATTCGTTCACAAAAATAACTAATGAGTTTCCTTCAGCAAGACTGGTACACGATAGTACGTTTTTGCACAGCAATAAAATCATTAACAGTTTGTGCTCCTGCCACAGTGTGCTAAATGCATCTTTTATCTTTCTTTTCATCTCCTCTGAAGGCGTGCAGCATTCAAATGAATTTTTATTTGTGCAGTTCTGTAATTTATAGAGTTTCTGTATTTAAAAAAGGTCGAAAAAGTATAAGGGGCTTGCCTGGACTACAGGGTACTGAAGAAGCATGCGCACGATATCAGGATCATTAATTGAAGCGGCATGATGCAATGCGGTGCGTCCATGATCGTCGATTATGGTTGGGTCGGCGTTTTCATCCAGTAGGCACTTCACTACCTCGGAACGACCTGCCTTTACGGCCAAAATAAGTGCTGTTTCTCCGCAGTCATCTTGCTCGTCAATTGCTGCTCCAGCAATCAGTAAGTTTTTCACATCCATGCAGCTATCTTTTTCAAATTTTTCCTGACTCAGTGCTGTGAGCATCAGAGCTGTGCGACCTTCACTGCTTTTTACATCCACAAGTTGCTGATCAATCTAAATTCAGGTCTACCGCATTTATTTTGAGAAATAAATAATTGGCCAGTGCACGGGCTGCCCGTGCGAACATGCGTTTTTTGCATAGTTTCCCGCAGTTTTGCCGCTACCGGCATCGGTTCTTTCGGCAAATACTTCTAGCTGAACAAATTAAGACTGGCCGCCAGAACTGGCAGGAAACAGACCATTAAAATTTCAGCTTTCTAGCTTTCCTGGCTCCTGAGTTATCACCTACTTGGACG